TGGGGTGGCTGTGGGTCGTTATGGGGTGGCTGTGGGGTGGCTGTGGAGTGGCTGTGGGTCGTTGTGGGGTGCCTGTGGGGTGGCTGTGGGCCGGGCCCGTCCCGCCCATTCGCTGTTGCCGCGGTAGCGCCTTGAGGGCGGGCGGGCCGGGCCCGGAGCCGCCGCTGGGCCCCGAGCACGGCTCGGGACCCTGTAACCGCCCTGAGGTGGTGCGGAATGTTTGCGAAAAGCCGGTACCATAATGTGTATTTGTAACACTCTGGGGCCCCAGAAATTGTCATAAATGACTCAGACCACCAGCCACACAACCCATCTATAACGTACGACAATTTATTTTGGCTGGAATGGAGTTGATTCCCTCAGTGATTTCGCAGTAGCTGGCACAGTGCTGTGCTTTGTTTAGTATGGGAAGAACACTGATAATGTTGCCCACAAAAATTGCATTCATTATCTGGTGTGTAACAAGACAATAATTACACACTCAAGGGAGACACCGATTATTTGTGTTAGAGTTGCACATGCCTGGGTGCTTGGTGGAATTCCACAAATCAAGCACACCAAATATTGAAACTTTTTACTATTAATACATTTTAGCAAACAAAGCAATTAGTGTTCATTGGCTAGATGTAACATAGCTCTTTTATTCTATCTTCTAGCGTTTAATGATTCATTTCTCATGCACATCAGTCCACATGCTCAGTCTTTATCTTTTTCTAGGTCAGGGGGTTTCTTGGGTCTGTGGTCTGTGTGTTGGTGGCCATGATCTGCCCCTGCTGGAATTATCTTTTACCCACTTGGAGCTGATTTCAGCACAATTACTGAGTTGGCTTTCTTAGTTTCTTCCTTATTTTGGGAATTCTGCCAGATGTCCTTGAAGGCTGTAAATTCTACATTCCTTGTAGAATTCCTTCACAAGCTTTGTTAACTTCTCCCTAGCTCTGAGATCAGTGAAGCATGTCCAGCTGTAAACCTTAACAAGGCAATTCTAGGAACAAGTTGTCTTTCGAACACCTGGATGTGACTCGCAGTTTGCTGGCTGCTCTCTATTTCACAGATTAAATCTCTTCTTCTTGTCGATTAGTCTTGAAAGTATACAAAGATGACACATCAAAGAACATAATTTCTTTAGAAAATTTTACATACTCCACATTTTGCAGCAATAACACACTGATGATTTGGGTGCTCAGTCGTGTTTATTCTGTGTCTGGGGCTGTTTTAGTCCTCTAGCCAGAGCAGGAGATCAGGAAGCTGCAGCCTCAGCAGAGGTTGCAATCTGTCAGCTCAGAATGTCTGCCTGCACTGACTTGGAGAAAGAACTAAACAAGGTGTTAGAAAACTCCAGACCAAAACTTGAACCAAGAGATGTGTGTGAGCACATGTGGGGTGCATGTACCCGGGGATATATTGCCTGGAGATTTCTTTGCACCAGCTTGAGCTCACCTGCTGTGCACTGCTCTATTAAATAAATTGCTTTTATAAATCTGATGCCTGAGATTGCTTTGGGAAACCAAGGCTTGGGCCCATCATTCTGCCTCTGCTTCATAGAATCACAGTATTGTCAGGGTTGGAAAATCTCTCTAAGATCATCAGGTCTAACTATTGCCCCAGCAGTGCCAAGGCCACCCGTGTCCCCAAGTAACCACATCTGCATGTTCTTTGAACACTTCCAGGGATAGTGACTCCAGCACTGCCATGGGCTGCCAGTTCCAATGTCTTACCTCCCTTTCAGTGAAGAATTTTTCCCCAATAGGCAACCTAAATCCCTCCTGGCACAACTTCAGGCTGTTTACATTCACTTCGTCCCTTATTCCCTCGGAGCAGAGCCTGAGCCCAACCTGGCTGCATCCTCCTGTCAGGGAGTTGTGGAGAGTGAGAAATTCCCCCTAAGCCTCCTTTTCTCCAGGCTGAGTCCCCCCAGCTCCCTCAGCTTCTTCTCATCAGACTTGTGCTCCAGTTGTTTCTTCTCTTCCCTGGACAATCCACACTCACAGCCCCCCTCTCCTCAGGGCAATCACCCTCTTTTGGAACTGACTTCAAATGAAGAGTGTCATATATGTGAGCAAAACGTGCTGATGTTCAATCCCCAGATTTCCTTTAGGGGAAGAAGATACACTATAAGGCTTCCCACTGTTTTAGTTAGGAGTTACAGGACAAGGTTTGTCTGGCAGTAGCCAGAAATTTGCCTAATTTAATTCCAGCAGGTGAGTGAAGGCTTACCAGTGCTCTCTGGTAGCAGCAAGAGCAGAATCATCTTAAGGTACAAGAGATAGTGTGTTTATAGAATCATAACTGTACATGAGGAGAACAGTGTAGGCTTCTCTTGAGTGGAAATACTAACAAAAGACATTTTCAAGCACAGAGAAGCTTGCCTCTTCTACTCCTGTCTGCAAAAATACGTAAAAAACTGTTTCCAGAAGCCTGAGATGGACTAAATCTGTCAAAGGATTGTCTCCCTGAACACATGATCTGCAGTGGTGCTTTACTCATTTGCAAAGGCTGAAAAGAGCTCAGTACACTGTTCATCATTCCTACTGGGAATAATGAAGGCTCTCCATATGCCCCATGCAACCCTAACCTTCCCAGAGAAGCACCCTTCCTCCTGACTGTGTGTCTGGAGTGTCCACTGAGGCAGGGACCCTGCATGGAGACTTAACAATTATGATGTGAGCAATCACTGCACAAACATCCCTGAAATACCCTCCCAAAATCACCCCTGGTCGACACTGCTCTGCTTGGACATCTTGGGGTCATACCTGTAGGGGAAAGGATGACACAGAGGCATGGGCTGGGATGCAACAGAAATTTAATGTCTCAGAAGAGATAAACAGGTCAATCCAAAAGAGGAATCCAGTGCAGGAAGCACCAGGGGCAGATGAGAGTTTGTGTCCCATGGCTGTGGTAGAGATGGCATCAGGTGTCCCTGTGCCTGAGCCAGAGAGGGACAGGGCCAGCAGGTTGTCCCCAGGATGGCTGTGTGGGGTTCAGAGGGCAGGGGAGCACAAGGCAAGAGGGACACAGGAGGGAAAGGAGAGAGGGGCAGAGGGCAGAGGGGCAGAGGCAGGCATGGGCTGTGCTTGCCCAGAGCCCAGGCTGGCCCCATCCTTGTGCCAGAGCTGCTGGGCTTGCTCAGCCCCTGGGGAAGCAAAGAGCCGATGCTGCGTCCCCAGGGCGCTCCCATGCTGGCAGTCCCTGGCTTCCTTGCCCAGGGCCATGGCCAGCAGCTTTAGCAGGGGAGGCACCTGGTGCCACAGAGGCCACTGCCCAAGCCTGAGAGGCCAAAGCCCCCGGAGCTGATGGGCACTCCCTGAGAGCTGAGGATGCTGCCAACAGCAGCAGAGGTGGAGGATCCCACCACGGTGTTCTGTGGGAAGGAGCTGAGGATGGGGCCGGGCAGGGTCACCACCACGGGCGAGGGCTGGATGTACACGGTGGAGTCCTGGCACTGCCTGACACAGGGCTCATTGCAGCTGTTGGCCAGCGGGGTGGGGCCACAGGGCCGGCACGGGGTGTAGCAGGACATGGCTTGGGGCTGCAGATGCACCTGAGACACAGGGAAGGGGCAAGCAGAGCACAAGGAGTGGCTGAGGATCAGCCTGTCACACCATAATGAGAGACCAAAGGCATGAACAGGAGAGAAGCCTTGGGGGCTGTATAGAGAGACCCACAGGCTTCTCCTTTCCTCAGAAGAGCCCTGCCAAGAGCTACCCAGGGAAGATCCCAGTCTGGTCCATAGCTCTGGAAACACCTCAGACAATCCCCAGCCTTTCCCCACGTTACACCTTCTGCCCCCTTCCTATTCCCATGGCAAGAATTCGTATGGGACAAAAGAAGCATGTATATACTGAGCAATCCCATGGGAGGAGTAGAAGGATGAGAAAAAGCTTCAGACTCACCTTGTTCTCAAGGAGATGGAGATGAGAGGAGTGAATGAGAGGTTGAGAAGGGCCCATTTTTATACTCCTCCTGCAGTGCCCCAGGCCCACAGTCACTGCACAAGGACAGTAATTTTCCTGCAGACTCACCTCAAAGCAAAACATTCTACCCAATGGCACAGATTGTGGTTTGTTTTCCATCTATGCTGGCATTTCATTTCCTCATTTCTGACATTCCCACTAAGTCATGGAGGCTTCTATCCTATAGTGGGATGAGAAGTGCAAGGATTTCTTGTGCAGGAACACATTAGTATGGGCAGGAATCAATCCTCAAGTTGACCATGTGGAGTTCTGTACTTCCTGCCTGCCTGAGGGATGTGTTGACTCTTGGGACAACACCTTCTCTTCCCTCTCTCTTCACCCCATGCTGCACTTTGGCTGCAGCCTTTGCACCCTGACCCGGAGGACACACAAAGTCCTGCCATACATTGTC